TGCTTAGTTGCTGGCTGGGGTTAAACCACCACATGTGGTATGATCAGTTTGGTCATAACTGGTGTGATCTAACAGAAAAATTTCAATAGTTACCTCTTTCTGACAATAGCACATTTAAATATGTTGCAGTCTGTTAGATATGTCTTTTTACCATGTAACCAGTGATAGAGTTGTCTGGCTGCAAAATCTAATAATCCGGTTACGCCAGGAAAGTTTTCACCATGGTCAAGCAGACTGAAGGCAAAATACAAATCCTTCAATTTTATAAATCATGGTATCTAGCAAACTACACATTTCTTCCTAAATTTTCCATGTTTTCACTTAGGGTTCTCAGTCAGACAGTTCAATGATATCAATGAACCGTAGCTTGAAAATAGCTTTTTCAAGCATTTTTCAAAGCTACTCCTGTAAACTTCACCTCATTATCTGCTGTACATGTTTCTTCTTTTGTAACCACAGAGACTTTACAGTGGTAGCTATGCTCTAATTGTGCCTTAAAAATAGATCCTTCCTCACTAGAAATACACAGATTTCTTCAGGTGCTGATTTACTGCAGAATGATGAAGGTACACTTGTACCATGGTCCCCTTAGTATGAGTGAGAAGTAAGAACTTAGATACTTTAAGAATTTGAGCATAATGTCCTCATATTTTTCTTACCTCCAAGACCTTTGTTGTTTCCATGTTTTCATGATACTTATTTTTGCAGAATTTTTAAATTTATTTTTAAATACTTTTTAAAGTGTGCTAGGTTAAATCGAGCCTTGCTGATTAAAGATAGCTTCTCCAAAGCTTGTTGTTGTTGGTTGGTTTAGTTCTATTATAGACTGTTCTTTCACACTGCCTCCCGGCTCTTTAGGCATCAGAGTGTGTCGACAGTGTTACAGCAATCTTCTTCATATTAGTGTGGATTGAAGCATCAAAATTTTACTACAAAACTAGACAATATGTCACATAGTGGTATTATCAAAGTGGTATTGGCTCAGAGACCAAATGTTTTCTGCCTTCTACAAGTGAACGACTTGTAAAATTATTTCTTTCAATTGCAAGAAAACAAAACAGCTTGCTAAAACTTGCATGTTTGTTAAACCAAATAAAATCAAAGTCTAACAAAGTCAGTAACATTATTCATCTTGACTTAATGGGTTTGATTTGTATCTCACTGCAGATATTAGGTACGGTTTGAAAGCATCCATTCACCATGACCTACCCTACCACAAAAATTAGGGTTAAATCATAGCAGCAAGCCTTTTTCTTTTCTTGGAGTACCTTTACTGTCCTTTAACTCTCCTTCCTGAAGGGAAATGTATGTTTTCTTTCCATTCACATGTTCTTTGCACTCTTTTTTTCAGCTGTTCCAACTGCTGTTTCTACATCTCTTTAGTCTTTTGCAAGCCATTCAATTTCCAACCTTAGGAGAAAAAAGATATTTTTATCTCTTCTTTATAATATTTCTGCTTCTTTCTGATATAATTTGACTTTATAATTGGTTTCTTTGAAAATCTGTAAAAAAATTCTGTGCTAAATTATTTGTGATATATCTAAGCAATCATATTCTGTTGCATTGTATACAAGCAATTACTTCACTACTAAATCATTCTTGCTTTATATCAGATGCTTTGAATTAGATTTGTCATAAGTGTAAAACAAAATCATTGCTTTCTCCATCCAGATTGTCATTGCAAACAAACAAGCTGAAGCTACAGAAAGTATAGATGGTTTCGGCTTGATTTTGCTATCAGTTATTCCATTAAAATCAATGGAGTTGTACCAATGTAAGCCTGATGTAGAAAAGAATCAATTTCTGTGTACCTATACAAATCTAAATCTTGGATACGTATAGATAGCTGTGTAAAAAGTATAAATTTGATGATAATTTGGAAATACCACAGATAGTATAGAAATAGATATATTTTATACACAAACAGTTTCAATGCATGCAAATAACATTCACATTATGCATCTCTGTGAAATGCAGTCTGGTTTATTTCAGAGAAAAGACTATGATACTTGCCTAATAAACTGTATGCAAAGTCATGCATTAATCTTAAATTACCAAGATAAAATCTACAACCTCTCACAGAATACCTAATATATATCTGACAGGAAAACAAGAATGTTATTTAGAGTCATTAATATGATTTGGTGGATAGTCCCCTTGTTAATACAACCTCTTTTTTCTTTCTTTTTTACTGCTTAATAGAGAAGAAAATCACGTTATTCGGACCTTGACTTTGAAGTAAGTTTTACTGAATTATTCCTGATTATTAAAAGTATTTTCCTAAAAGTAAATGTGTTCATTTAGCAGATTTTAGCCTTCTGACATAGTAGAGGTCACAGGGTTGTTCAATTGGTACTGTACAGAACACGATGAGCAATTCATGAAAACTACTTTGGTGCAACTTGTTTGTAACATATTCTGAGATCAAACTGTCATATTGCAATAGTAACCATCATGGTTTCAGTTTTAAAATTCTCTGCCTCTTCATTTTCATCTGTTTTTCTTTTTTTTGTTTTGTTTTGTTTTGTTTTGCTGACTATCAGTCTATTGAAAAAGTGTGACACTTCTGTAGGACAGGCCACATTGTTGCAGACGGTTGCTTTGTTCAAGAGGTTCTCATATTCAAGAGGTTCTCAGTCTTCAGTTCTCTCTTTCTTCAATACTAATTCACTGGCGTATGCGTTTCACATCCAAATAGTGATTATGAATGTGTCGAATTTTGAATGATGAAGTGCTGCAGCTTATGGATCACATGGTATATAAAAAATCAAGTTCATGTAAGGTTCTTTAGGTTGGATACCCACAATTTCAGACTTAGACCCCATTGAATGAGGAGGTTTGGTTGTGTTAGTTAATGACCATTTTGTTCTATCTCAGTCAGTATGAAGTCTCTTAGACTTTTGTTTATTTGAGGTTTTTCTCTCTATTCTCTACCAGAAGCAATATAGCAGTTAGTTTTCAAGGGGATGTTAATAATTTATGGATTTGGGGTTTCTGCATAGGTTGTCTGTTCATGCATGTTAATAGTTTGACATAATTCATTATGTGTGCCTCCAGAGAAGTTGAACAAACATAATATTTGCATGGAAACTACAGATCTCAGGCTAAACTTTAACATCCAGTGATCAGTATATATCAACCATAACTTTAAAAATCACCCTCTCTGTTTGCATGTGCAAACAAAAGCATTTTTTATTATTATCTGGGCTGTGAGCACAGCACATGTACTTTCAGATTTCAGATTCTAGTCCACAGAAAAGAAAGAGGTGGAGCTAGCAAAATGCAGCCATAGCAGTGGTCATAGAAACCTTACAATGAGAGAAGGGTTTGCTTTGGTGACCTGCTTTTGCTGAAATGCTGACCTTCCGTGTCAGATTGTGGTTTCTTGGTAGTTTAACATCATGCCTTAATCTCTTATGTCACTTTCCCCCAGAGACTATAGCTACCTTAAGCAGTCATGTAACATCTCAAATAAAGCACCAAAGATTCATAGTAAGTTTAAGGAAAATAAAATTAAAAGATATTCCTAAATATGCTTTAGGATAAATGCCTAGAAAGGAAGAAGAAAAACATGAATCAACAACAAAATTCTGAAGAGCAAGCAATTCTAAAATTAAATTCAAGCAATATGAACAGAAGTTTTATAATTATAATGAAATAAAGAATTCTGATTTTTACTGTTTTTTATTGAAAGGTAGGAATATCATGCCATTCACAATGAGAACATTCTCTGTGGCAACAGATACTAAAACATTCTTCTTACCATTCAGGAGAGCATAATCCAACACCAAATAAACACCAACAATGCTGTACACATTCTGATGTCAAGAATCAGGCCTCCCGTTACGTATTTTCTTTTGACTCACACAGTGTGTTTAAGATGCTTACACCTTTTTTTCATCGTTTACAGCACTGTTGCTCCATGGCCTAATATTTTTAGAAGTACAACTATAATGCAGGAAAACGTATTTGTTTGTAAAAAGGGATGGATGGGTCATTAAGAGCGACTGCTGAGGAAGTGAGTGGCAACAATACTCTGCCAGTTGCTGCTGTGTTTTAGAAGTACCGACTCAGACTAACCCCTTCTCACTTCCCTGCTTTATGGCTCCTCTGATTAAGCCTGTGGGCTTTCCTGTGTTCTTACACACAGCATGGCTGGGTGGCTGAGGTGAAGCAAAATAAAAAAGCCATAAAATGTTCAAATGGGCACCCAGATTCCTTCACTCAGCAAGGCATACTGATGAAGGGGATTGAGATAGTGTTGTGTGACCAAAACGCTGCTATTCCGATACTTCAAAGCAGCTTGACTGCAAAATAGAGACTGGAGGTGAGGTCAGGCTGGAGTGATTGGCCATACTACTTAAATGTTTAACACTTTCTCTGCTTTGTCTGTGACCAGTGCCAGCTGGCACTCTCTAAGACAATGTCCTTCGACAGTTCTGAGGATAACAAATGCTATGGATGTGGTTCTGAGGATAACAATGCTAAATATGCAGTATGGACAAGACCATGTCAAGCTTGGTTCCCTTTGTCCTTTTCCTTTTAAGAGTCTCCCAACAGTCTCTACATCCTCAACCTCTCACACACCTCTGTCTATATCCATACAAGACAAACCCTCAGGCTATGCCTATCTTACTAAATTAGACATTTGGGGGAATATTCCTGGGGTGCCAAAATGCCAATTTTTGTATGGATTAATTTTTAGAATGATCTTCACTATTTTAGTCTAGACCACCCTTGTCTCTCCAAACAATTCCTGAAACATCCTTGGGAACCAGTGCAACGTGGGTAACATTCACAATTGGCAATTTGGTTGTAGACTCCTTATTTTGGAGACTAAGACAATTTAGTAGCATTCATGGAGAACATTCCATGCTAGGTGGTGCCAGAGAATGGTCTTGAACATGTTTGACTTACTACTGTAGAGTCATAGTTTCAGAGTTATAAAAAAAAAAAAAAAAAGACTATGATAGTGAACTGCCATGCAATGCTCACCTTAATATAGACAATTTGAAGTAAAAACAAAGAAACACAGGAAAAGCAATTTTCTTCTGAGGGCCACCGATGACACTCAAAGCCAGCTGCTATGTAGTGTGAACACAGGCAGACTAAGACTGTACTCAACACCATAAAATACTCTCTGTCCCTGTTATCTCCAATACATGTAGAAATACAGGTGTAGTTTTAAGGGCTTTTGCAATGGACTATAATAATAAAAGTCCTGTGACTGTGCTGGGTAGTGTTATAGAAAACTTATGCTTCCAGTCAAAGGAAAGGGAGAGAGAAAAAGATGGCATCCAAACTGGCCAGCCCTTATCATAGGTCTTAAGCTGTTTAGAGAGGAGACTTTCAAGAACTGGGCCACCTGTATCCTATTTTCCCTTTTTAAATAGATTACCATTACATTCTTAAATAATTCCTTTATGTAGAAAAAAGAAGACATACTGTAACATAGTAGGTTTAGTCTGTAGGCAGAAAGTATTTCTGCTACATAATACACTGTCCTCAGATTTTGCAAAACACTGACTAATCTAGTTGAACTCTGAAGTTTGCTAAAATGAACAGTCAACGTGTAACAGCTTTACAGTTCTTTTCTTGCTATTACCAAGGATTATTTTAGACTTATTCATGCAGTCCAGTATCCAAAACATGATCAAAATTCATAAGTCTGGGTGTTTTGGATCCTTGCTGCTGCTGGCTGTGGTAACTCCAGCTAAATGCCCTCCAATCCCAGTCATTATGTTCTGGTTTTCCCCAAAGCTGGACGGGTAGCTTTTTCATGAAGGTTTAACACTAATATTAGCTGTCAGATCAAATAAAATTCATTCTAATTATGTTGAACAGAAATACAGATGCTGTGGAAATTCCCAGGAGGACTTCATAATACATGTATGCTGACACTTACAAAAACATACAGGAGAGTTAAACAGTATTATTGACATAGAATCGTAGAATCATAGAATTGTTTAGGTTGGAAAAGACCTTTAAGATTGAGCTCAACCTTTAATCTAGCACTGCCAAGTCCCTAAGCACCACATCTACACATCTTTTAAATACCTCCAGGGATGGGGATTCAACCACTTCCTTGAGCAGCCTGTTCCAATGCCTGACTACCCTTTCCATGAAGACATTTTTCCTAATATCCAATCTAAACCTCCCCTGATGCAGGTTGAGGCCATTTACTCTCTTCCTTTCGCTAACTACTTGGGAGAAGAGACCAACACCCACCTCACTACAACCGCCTTTCAGGTAGTCATAGAGAGTGATAAGGTCTCCCCTCAGTCTCCTTTTCTTCAGGCTAAGCAACCCCAGTTCCTTCAGCCGCTCCTCATAAGACTTGTTCTCCAGACCCTTCACCAGGTTTGCTGCCCTTCTTTGGACACGCTCCAGCACCTCAATGTCCTTCTTGTAGTGAGGGGCCCAAAACTGGACACAGTATTCCAGGTGCGGCCTCACCAGTGCCGAGTACAGGGGGACAATCACCTCCCTGCTCCTGGCACACTGTTCCTGAGACAAGCCAGGATGCTGTTGGCCTTCTTGGCCGCCTGGGCACATTGCCAGCTCATATCCAGTGGGCTGTCGACCAAGACCCCCAGGTCCTTTTCGGCCAGGCAGCTTTCCAGCCACTCTTCCCCAAGCCTGTAGCGTTGCATGGGGTTATTGTGACCCAAGTGCAGGACCCGGCACTTGGCCTTGTTCAACCTCATACAATTGGCCTCAGCCCATCAATCCAACCTGTCCAGATACCTCTGCAGCGCCTTCCTACCCTCAAGCAGATCAATACTCCCACCCAACTTGGTGTCATCTGCAAAATCACTGAGGCTGCACTTGAATGCATCATCCGGATCATTGATAAAGATATTAAACAGAACTGGCCCCAGTACTGAACTCCGGGGAACATCACTTGTGACCTGCCGGCAACTGGATTTAACTCCATTCGCCATGACTCTTTGGGCCTGGCCATCCAGTCAGTTTTTTACCCAGCAAAGAGTATGCCTGTCCAAGCCATGAACAACCAGTTTCTCCAGGAGAATGCTGTGGGAAATGGTGTCAATGTGTCAACATGCATTTTAGGATTCAAGATCACAATTACCTTTAAATTCTATAAGAGGGTCTGACTCCTGGGTTTCCCCAGCCATCCACTCCACTCTCCCCTTTATATGAGGCTGTCATTGAATCTACTTGTAATAACATTTATACCAAATAATTCAGAAATGTGCCTTATTACCCTGCTCCCCTCCCCAGGATTCAAGTCATGTCTGGCTTTTTTTGTGCTCAACCCATGAGGGAAAGCAAGGATACACAGGACAAGTGTGAATACCAGAATGTCTTCTTTTCTTTCCACAGAGCAGTAGACTTTCAGCAGCAATAATACTAAATTGATCATTAATTGTTGGAGCTGCATTCTTTCCAAATTTAATCTGCAATAGCTATTCATTACAACAACATTACAAACCCACACAAAAGTTTAAAATTGTCCTCTTACTAACCTGAAGACCTCTCTTGAAGACAAAGGTGAAAAAAAAAATGCTTGCAGGGAAAAATCCTTTCCCGCTCTTAAGTTTGGCATCTGATCATACCTATAACATCTTGAAAACACAGCATGTTTCCATTATAGGGCTGGGAAGGCATTCCCCCATCTGTTCTTTTCACTTAGCTGTTTCATACAATATTTGAGAGAGAGCATTTTTACCTGTGACAATATAGAAAATCTCCAAGGCAAATGTAATTACTTCATTATTATTATTACTATTACTGTTATTCATAAGATTGACCACAAATCTTCATGAGAATAGTTGAGCTTGAGCTAGATTTCAGCTAAAACCCCGTCATAAATAAAAAAGGGAGTTGGGTACAGAGTTATGTTTGAAGTCCTTCCCATCCTGATGATAGCCATCCACCCTCTGAATCCTCTTCTGAGAGCAGATGCTCATCAGAGTATAAGGCTTAGTCTTTTCAAAACACACACTTCAAGTTGCTTGTGAGTGGGGGTAGAAATGTGGAAGGGATGTCAGTTCAGTTGGACCCCCTTTAGGGTGTGAGGCAGAAGAGTTATGGAGCCTGCAGGAAAGTTCACAAGAAGATGTGTGTCTGCAGCCTGGTGGCTAACTCAGATGCTTCTGGAGGGGATGCGGCATTAATGGGCAAATCCCCAGCTTACCTAAAGAAGGTGTGCTTTTAAAAGGCAGCATGAGAAGTTTTTCCATCGTGTTCAGGTCCTGATGCTACTACAATCATCCTAGTATATGTTGGTCAGATCTCCAGCTCTGTATTGATAAAACTTACGCATTTCTAAGATTGATGAAGCTGTGTTTTCCACATTGCTCATTTAATAGAGAAAACAGATTAAACACCCACAAATACTTTGTGAGTTATTTTCTAGTAAAAGAGAAAGAGTTACCCAACAGTGCATATTTTCTAGAAAGGGGATAAGTTGGTGCTTTCTAACCAGGGATTTAAAAGAACTCTAGAAAATAAGATATAAAGTTGGAAATTTAAGTTACTGCACCTTCAGTTCAGATCATTCTTTATAAGCAGTGGGGAGGGGAGGGTGTCAGTGGTTAGGAATTATGGAATGGAAGCCAGGGAAACACAAAGCAATGAAGATCCATAGGTACATGTGCATGCAAGTCATTCTGCTATTAAGAATAAAATTTAAAACCTTTTTTCTGGCAGACTTCCCACTGCAAGTGTTTAATTTCTCCTCCCACCCGCTTCTCCTCAGCAATAATGTAATGAACTGAGAAAGACATTTGCATTATTCATATTTGCTATTTAACAAATTCTTGGGTACACGATTCAGAAAAATATCAGAAAGTAGCATTCTCTATATTCCTAACCTTCTATTAAAAAGTTTCCAACTGGAGATACTTGTTTCACAGTCATATGCTATTTCCTGCTTTTATTGCCAGTATTTTAACCCACCAAATCTGTTTTATTCCCATGAGCATGTCTTCTTATTTCAGCCAATAATGACCTTTGAGGCAGAACCTTTCTTTTTTAAATTCTATGTATAGGAAATTTGCTACATATCCCTGTCTACCATAACAGCAATAGCTTAAAAGAATCCCTAGGAAGTCACTGAAGTGAAACTCTTCTCATAAATTTAGATTAGCTATCTCTGGTTAAATTACATTTTGCAAGGAGTTCTTCACCAAATCCTGCAAAATTGTTTCCCTTATTCACCCCACAACTCTTGTTAAGTTAATAGGTCTTTAATTGCTTACTGTATCACATGTCCCTTTTGTGAATAATGTTGCCAATTTCCTGTTCTCAGAAGTGAAACAAGTTCTCAGGCTATGGTGTAGCTATATTAAGGATTACATGGTTATTACAGCATAGCGGTAGAAATGCATGGTCAAGAAAGCAGCCACATTTCATGAAATTTAAAAACACAGAATGCAAATGAAAGATAAAAGCTAAAATCAGTATTGGTAAAGCATTATTTGAGGGTCAGATACTGCCACTCCATTTTAAAATGTACCAACCCAGACTTGGCAGAAGCTGTACTTGCTGGGAAGGCTCACACTCAGGCACTGCATACGTAAGTTTGCAGGGTTTGTCACGTACAACACCAGGGAAAATCAGGCTTGACAATTAGTGGACGTACATAGAGGCTGTTGTCCTGCACATTTTCTATCAACATTATTGGCTGCTGCCCTGGCTGTAACTCAAGTTCAAACAGTTACAAAAGCTTAAGAAAAGCCAAGCTGAGCCCATCTGCTGTTGGACTGAGGTGAAGCATCCTCAGTCCCTCCCGTCCCCTGTCCACCCAGACCACAGAACCATGAGACTGGCTAAACAGTAGGCAGCCTTCGGCTTTGCTCCGGAGGCCGGTCTGAATCCATACCTGAGCGTGAACTTATTTGGAAACAACACAGATGGTAGGCTTGACAGTCTAGGCTTGAAAACAGGCTTCACTCTCCATGTAACTGCCAAGGCAGATACGTGGCCAAGGGCTCCTCCAATTGTGGGGGCTGTTTGGGGTCCCCACCTCTTGCATAGGAGTGCCATATAATTAGTTTTTGTGGAGGAATGCCCTGTGCATGGGCTAGAGGGAGGGTGGTTTCCAATTGCCAGTCCGTGACATAAAAAAGCAAGTAAAATTGAAAAATTGTGCCTACTTTCTTAATAGAAATGACATTTCAACTGCATTTTATGATGATCTGAATGACAGAAGATGTCTAATTAAAAAAACCATAACATTTGAGGCTTTTCCATTTTGGGCCAAGATTTCTGAGTTCAGCATTCTCATAAAAATTATTCTGATAGGGACCATTACAAACTGCTGTTGCATTCCTACAGAAATTAAAATACTAGCACCCACGCTGAAAACAGAAATTTTAGAAAATATTCCTAATGTGCAAGAGAAATATCCTTCTGAGAAACTGCCATTACTTTCAGAATACTTCTAGGCTAGCACAAAAACAGTGTCCCTTAATTTCAGCAACTCAATAAATGTGGGGTAAAAACAGTCTCTTGTACACAGGAAGAACATTAAACAGAGCAGAGAGAAGGCACAGTACAATTCACTTCCATTGGTCGAGTCTATAGGGAAAAGATGGCCCTGCCAAATTCAATTTACTTTATTATGTTGGGAAAAATAATGCTTCTCTTAAAAAAGCCCAGATTCAATTATAAATATAAGCAATTATTTTCCATTTTGCAGAAGGTCATGCATACAAGAAAGAGGCACATGGAATTGTTTCAAGAGTTAAATCAGAAATTTCAGACACTGGACAGATTTCGGGATGTACCAAAATCAGGCAGTATGGTAAGTTTTCCTTTTTAGGTATTTAAAATATGATGGATCCTTAACAACAATGAAACAAGAGTCCTTGTAATTCAGTATATTTCTCAAGAAGACCTCACTCTGCACTACCTTTAGATAGCCTCAGAAATTAGAACAAAAGATATTTTCAGTAATCTAACCTATGATGAGACTCATTAGGTTTTACAACCAGACCATAACTAACTCACTGCCGTCATTATAGCGACTGTAGGGAACACTTTTCAAATCTGTATGTGTCTACCAAGTCTAAAGGACTTTATATAGAGAAAGTAGCTCACTAATGTAATTTGGCCAGTAGGGCTTTTCCTCTAGCTAGGCAAGCAGATATTGAATTAGTTACTACTACAAACAAGTCCAGCTAGATTCACCTATACGTGAGACAGTCCAGAAAGCACACAGGGTCCCTGTAATGCCATGTCTTTTCTGTAATAGGTTTGTAAATATTTACCATGGGAAAAGCAAAAATTAAATCATCCTGAGTTGACTCTGCTATCACCATAATTCAAATTTATACACACATGCATAACACCCTGACTACATCTGATAATGACAGCAAGGAAATGGTTGATTCTGCCTAATTAAAACAGCTAATTTAGTGTGACATATTTGTTAGCAGTAATATTATGATTAGTAATAATTTTATATATAATTTTATAAAGTGGAAATTGTATATTAAATGGAACTAAGCTAGAATCATTGTATTCTATAACTTTTTCAGAAGAGCTGCTTTCAGACATGAAGAAGAGGTACTAGCAGATGTGAGGCCAATGGATTTACATCATTTACATCATCTTAATCCAGCAGAAATTTGGCCCTGATTCTTTGATGAACCTTTAGCTGTGATATGTGTTATTTTGCACCCAGTTCTCGCTCACTCCCCCTTCTGAGATTTGCTGACATGTAAAGTTTGCATCCGCCTCCCTATTTGAGATTTGCTGTCCATATAAAGCTTGAATTAATTCAAAATCTCAAAGGGAATCTCAGAGGAAGAGTTGTGTTTACTCTGTTTTGCATTGGTGCTATGTTTTTGAAAGGTCTGTTAATACAAGCTGCCTGGAGGAATGGTCTATCTGTAAGACAGTCAGAGAGTGATCCAGGTACCTAAATATAGGCATCTCGGGCTATTTGAGACAGCCTCAGGTGTCTTAGTCTACAGCACAGTACAGGCATTGATGACACAGGACTCAAAGGAGACCTCCATCTCTCATGAAAAATAGTTGGAGATCAGGCAGAAAATCGAAAGGCATCCAAAATGGTGCAAAAATGTTAGGGTTTGGCAACTAAGTCCCACCCAACATGTTACAGAAGAAATCGCTAATGAAATTGGTCTTAGTCCATAATGTCTTTTACCCTATAAAAACTTAGCATCCAAAAAAAATCATTCAGTAGAAAATAACCAGCTTTCAGCCTATTAATTGTAATATACATGAGCTCATCGGCCTGAAAGCAAGGTAGCTCTCACAGCATTTTCAGGGACTAGGTTTCCGTGGTTCTGTCATGCACCTGCCCCAGTTAAAATCCAGCTGGCAATCTCTGGCTCAAACCACTACGTATTTCAGGCAGTAAGCTCTTCTCAATTACCTTCCCTTCTCTTCTCCCACTTTTCTACACAACTGCTATTAAAAAGATGGCTATTGGTACTGGATCACTCAGCCATTCCTCACATACATTGGTTCTTGTGAAAGACAGGGCTTAGCTGGCAGCTCAGGTGAGGAGCGTGCCAAAGTGGTGTTTGTTCACAGAGGAAGAGTCACAACGGTGCTGAACACCCACCAGCCTGGCTCCCTGCAAAGTCATTTCCACTCCCTGGCTTCTCTGTCTCATGAGAGCGCGTTAGCGGATCAGCCTTAGAAAACACATTATTTCATCCTTGTTTTTAATTCTTGTTTATTCTCTGGTCTTCAGGAGAACTCAGCACCGAACAAGGCTCCATGGGACAGTTTCAAAACCACAGGCGACTACCAACACTATACAACGATAAATGTATTAGACACAGAGGCAAAAGATGCTTTAGAACTCAGACCAGCAGAATGGGAGAAGTGTCTGAACTTGCCTTTAGATGTGCAAGAAGGTGACTTTCAAACAGAAGTTTAACAAAAATGAAAACGAACTGAACAAAACAAAAACAAAACAAAAATAATTCATTGCACTGACAATAAAGAGACTTTGGGAATCCTGACGCTCCTGTTTGAACATTGTGACTACTTTATGTCAGGCTCTTCCTGTGCCGAATGTCAGTGGTTTTTTTCGTACAGTATATTCCCACTAGTGCGGCTAGTGGAGAACCAGGTGTACAATTCTTACCATCGTGTGTTGTAAGTACCCGTGGAATGGATTTGTAAGGTAATCTTTATAGATAAACCTCAAGCAACGATTCATGTTGTAACAGCTTCATTTGGTTTAGTTTTCAAAAAACTTCACCATGAAGCACAATGTATATATTTATGCAGTTTTTAAAGTTTATAACAGTCTGTTTGGCCATTACTACACTTTTTACTTTATAATATAAAAGCAAAGTTTTTGTCATTAAATGAATGTCTGTTGAGCTACATTCTTCATTGCTTTAAATGCAATAAAGTAATAATCTCACTTTTATATGAATAATATATTTCACATCTTTATTATTGCAGTTTTCTCTGGAAAGCTCAGAGTAGCTTTCTCTGCTGCAGCTGTGTATAAAATATTTAAAATGTTGTATGGTGTAAATAAACCTTTGTCTACATATCAGTTTCTTAGTGCATTTTATTCTGTATTTGTTTATCTTAAATTTGCATATTTATAAAGTTTTCTTTAAAAACACACATATTGAATATGTATTTAGAGTTTTAACAGTATGTTATTCTAGCTCCTGCAAGGAGTTTCTAAAGCATATTAGTAGGTTTGTATAGCCATTCTGCATTTTCTTAAGTATTCTTTTGTGACAATGTACCATATAAATTGGACTTGTCAGAATACTATTACAATTGTTCTGTTTTATAAGAATGTTTGTCTCGTTGCAGAAAGACAAATAATGGAAAATAAGTTAAGTTGCAATGCACAGCACCCAAAGAAAATGTTGATTTAGAATCATTACATCTTGTGCATGGTCTTGTTGCTATATAACAATAAGAAAGACTTTAAAGAAAAAAAATTCTGAAGTATTTTAGAAAAAAGAAAGAATGTGTTTCATATTATAAATCAAGAGCGGAGCATCATTTACATTGAAAATACAGTTAAACAATTAGGAATAGAAAGACCAAATCTCCCTTTCCATGCTTAGAACCCGAAGCAGATCTTCAAAATCTCTCCTCATCTACAGCATAGCTGTGGGGGGAGGGGATGGGAGGATATCTCAAATCTTCAGATGTGATATTATTTTCTAGGGAAAAAATTTCCAAAACTATTTTAGTTCTTGCTGTATGTAATTCACTATACTGCAGCCTACTAGCTGGAGAGCTCTTAGAGAGGAAGAAAACATGACAACCAGTCTTCTTAGGAAGAAAAAAGACTGGAATAGAGGCTTGTCAGTGAGAACTTAACCCAGAGCATTGGTAGAAGGAGATGGATATATGCTGAGAGAAAAGTACTTAGGATCAGCCTTAGGACTAACTTTCAGGAAATTGTTTCAGTCTGTAAATCCTTTCTCTAAGCCATAATAAGGTGGTTAAACCACCAAAAGGAGCCTGACTTTGCCTACTTTGAGTATCTCATGCAGAGTGCAGACTTCTCTAATCTAATGCTTCAGCATCTAAATCTTTAAGCAAATACAAAATAATTAGCCACCCACCTGGTATCAAGTCCATATGATTAACTGGTTTAGGTGCCTAGAAGTTAGATGATGTAGTACTCAATATTGCAATACATTAATCAATCAGGCCCTTTATCAAGAGTCTGATGCAGAAGGAGGCGGCTGGCAAGGCTGGCTATGCAACCTACTAACGTCACACATCTGAAATCAGATAGTGCACCAAAACCCTCTCTCTCTTGCTTTATATCAAGTTCTAATCTAAAAGGGGTTTATTTTCCCTTCAGATAAAGATACAACAGCAACTGCATATCTTTTAAGGATTTCATCCAGTATGGTAGGCATCTCTCAAGCAGACCATGTCTTACAAAATTTCTAATTTTTTAAACCAAATGAGGAAGCTTAGGCCCCTGAATCCAGATATAAACCTTAGCATTCTCCTTGATTGATCTAAACATAACACAAATCTAGAGCACCTTGGTATTTCAATAACTATAGTGCAGAGATTATTTGCATAAGCTTTATGTCACCTAACTCCAGTTCGACAGCAGTTACAACTGCAAAAGCTTACGGTAGGCTGCAAACTTAACCAGGAAACATGATAAATCAGGCTACACTCAATACACTGCTGACCAAGTTGTGCTGTTATTAAAAACCCAGTTCATTCCGGTTTAGCATTAACCTGGGTGTTTATGTACGACACAGCACACAGATATGCTTTCAGTGTATGAGCAGCAATGTTCAGTGCCTCCTTATTTAGAGCTTGTGCTGCCCTGCCCAGACAGTGCTAGACATTTTTATTTTCCTATATATTTCATATTTAGAAATATTAAGAACATGCTGAAACCCAGTGTATATGCCTACTGATTTGACTGCTTTGTATTAAAGCAGAGTTTTTTTCCATAAGCAAGATGCTGCACATACTTACAGTTCGCTGCTCAATGTCTCTGAAATGGCGCGAGTCAGACTGAACCCAGCAGGAGAGTACAAACTTGTATGCACTTGCTTAAATGTTGGCATAGCACTGGTGAGATGTTTGGCATTATATTAAATGCAAATAAAAATTGAGTCAGAACTCCCTACATGGTACTAGTCACAGAGATGACAGGGGGCTCTGCATTTGCCTGCCAGGGTGGGCTGGTGCCACTCGACGTGCCCTGTGCTACCTCACCTGGCCTCCTGCAGTTACAGAAAGGTTCAGGTGCTTGAGATTTTTTTTCTGGTAAGTCAATGCTAAACAAAATATAGACTGGACTTTTCAGTCTAGAGAAGCAGTGCATACAGGAAATCTAGCTGAGCAGCCATAGATCACTCAGACAGAGTTCAGGTTATCCATGATATCACATCCAAAGCTGTGTAAAGGGGATTGGTGTTGCTGGCACAAAAATGCTACGTTTGTATGTAGCAAAGGTATTTGCTACATGGACTCTTGCCAACGTGGTGTTATTTAATGCAGAATCTTCTGGGGAGGTAAACTCTGAATTTGTCATTATCAAACTTCAGCTCATACTCTGCAATATCTCTTGGAAAGAAGAGAAACTAAGTGTTGCTACAAGGAATGAGAGGAAGAATAGTAGTGCAGCCATGCTGATGCATCTTTGGAGTGCCATGGGCTTAATGTTGGCATATATGCAATGCTAATGACTCCTTATGATGAAGATTTAGGACAAAGCTGTAACAAAAGACACAAACAGAAAAGGGTCTTTTCCATTTCATTCACTACTGGGTATGAATTTCTTCATAATCAGTGAAACAGTGCTCTTCTCTGGGAAATGTTCTCCTGACTCACCTCCTGTAAGAACATAACTTGCTTCTATGATGATAAGACCTAAATCACCTAATATTGTTTTACACAGGATTAAACTGGGGTAGTTTCTTTTAAAAAGAAACAAAACCCCAATGAAACAAAAAACCCCAAGCCCCAAGCCGCACCAGGTGAAATGTTCTCTGATGCTTTGGCTTGTCTCCATTTCCCATAGTTGCTAGGCAATGCTGCACTTACATACCAGATTTAACAAAAGGTCTGCTTCCCACTTGGAAGCAGGCATCCATCTGTCACAGCATCAGCAGTGTACTTGCCATCAGGTTATGCAAAAGGATATGGAAATATCTTTTAGCAATCAGCAGATGGAGACATTGTGTATTGATAGTAGACTTTCAGTTCCCCAGGCATTAGCTCGAGGCTGTGCTCTACCTCTGGATAAGCCACGAGAAGCGTTTTGTATGAGCAAATATTATTTCCCTCTCAAAAAGTGTTATACGGCTCTCGTGCAATCAAGCCATTCTCATGTGCTGAGAGAAGTAAACAGAGAGGTACCCAGTTGAGCATGTGTTTGGGGAGCTGTGACTTATTTCGAGCCAGGTCTCAATGAAGGTAATGCTGTAATCTTTTCTACTTACTATTCTAGAAACATCTTTCTTTGCAAGGAAAGCAAAAGAGGCCTCACTAAGAAAAATTCAATTGCTGATAAGATAGGCATGACTACTAACCCTAGCACTCCCACTGAAATGTTCTGTCCGTTAATTACAATAGTAGGGTAAAGAGAGAGCCCTTTACCTGGTTTTGACAAAATTTTCTCTTGCATAAGCTGCATCGGACCATCCTGCGGCAATGAGTTACTCAGCTTAACTACACTACAGTACTGCTCCTCTTGTTTGTTCTGGACTAGTTTCATTTTATACCTCCTTATTCCTTATAAGGAACAATTAATAACTTTTACCAATTCAACTTCCTCTCTTGACTATTCAGGCTTCTGCTATAGGCCCCACAATTTCCCTTTTTCAGGATTACAAACCTACACCCAGTTAGTCCTCACATGGGAGCCCTTCCCCAATTTCTACCATCCTTGTCTCCTTTACAGCTTTTCCAGGTCTGCTAAAGTTCTTAAATAATTCTCAGCAAATCCTAAACTCATTAGAGCATTCTATTTGATCCATGCAGAAAAAGGAAAAACGCAACCACGAAGCTTCTAAAATGCCTTTTCATTGAGTAGGGGGGGAAAAAAAGAAAACTCAAAAATACCTGAATTTTAACTTTTTTTTTAAATACAAATTTGGAAAATACGTGACCATCTCTTTGAGCAAAAAGAATGGGTACCAGGCAGCTTTTCTTAAGTAATCGTCTTAACAAGTGGACTTCAGTAATTTATTTTCTGCTGCTCCTTCTCTCTGGTGCTGTGAATGTAGACTTTCTTCCGTAAGTAGCACTGCTGCAGCAGGACTGGTAGGGGGTTAACCACAGCCCATTGGCTATGTAAATCCTTTCAGATGGAAGAGTAGTTATTTCCCACATCCTGAATTCTGAGCTTTTTTTCAGTTTTTGTAACCCGCCTTCCTCCAGCTGTGTGTTCAGAGTGATGTCCACTCACTTGTTGACTGTCTTCATTAAAACTCAGAATGGGCACCTGAGCCAGGGAAGGGATTGGGAGCTGCTGCTCATGACTGTTCATCCCTGTGACTAAGTTAAGCACCTGCATCTCAAAAGAGGTGGGGTTTAAGAAACAGCTCTAGTCTCAGAGTTTTCTTGTTGATTAGCTTAGGCAGCTATTGGGAAGCCCAGCTGGAGATGTCTACTTCTTTGCATGCATTGTACAAGCAGATAATGTGCCTTGTTCAACATATGCAGTCAACCCTAGGAAACAGGCACCTAAACCTTACATGATGCAATGCTCACCATCAAAAAATCTATGTCCTTCTGTGGGTCAAACCCTTAGGAGTTGAAATACTTTTAGAAATCTGTTTCTAAGAATCCAATTTTAAGAACAGCAACAAGCTAGTGTTTTTTCACATCATCAATTCAATGATTTATTGCATTATGTCCCTAGGCTGTTGACTCAGGAAATTGCAAAAGGTGATGCCTGAAGGACCTCATAGTATAAAAATGAAACTGGAATTGATTAGTATGTATGTTCAATTTCTTATCTGGTGTCTCCTTGGACCTAACCACTTTATTTCCTGCTCTTCTCAAGAACTGTGTATTAGGAAAAGATTTTCAGAGC